CAGCAGGATTACAAATGCCGTTCTCTCGGACAGAATGGTGTGAAGCTGAATGTAACTGATTCGTTGAAAGCCAGTGAATAACGGCGTTTTTAAACCAAGGTCTTAGAGCAACACAAAAAAGAGATCGACCATATCCTCAGTCCAAATACGATCGAGGGCCCTTAACGAAAATTTCTTCGTGTGGCCTTAAAATACAGGTCCCTATCGCTCACTGTGTGTACACCTACGCGATACCATCACCTGTCGGCGAAACACTGCAGTCGCTGACCCCGTCGGAAGTTCTGGCCCTGGTCGTGCGCCGAACATGACGCATCTCAGCATGACCGCGCTGGGTCTACGAACCGACGGACTGCTAGCTCTTGAGCACTCTTCAACTGAACGTTCTTCAACGCTGGCAGCTGTCCCACCAGTCAGTCCTTTCTCAGGTACGATTTCAGCCATCCTCCGACTGAAAGAAAGACAGGGAAAGAGCCCCAGATAATTGTGCCTATGCGATATGCTTACACGCCATGTGCTTATATTCGAGGATGGAATGAATCGTTCTTCTCTTCATGAGGAAATATTTGCACAAATCCGTATAGGTCACCTTAATCTTTGTCAACGGCTTACGGTGAATACCTTGCGCTTCAAGATAGCAACTGATGTGAGCAAAATCTAGCCAGCTAGCCCGATTTCAGAAAACAAAGATTGATGCTGATATGGATCACAATATACTGAGCTCTCAATTACTGCGTCTCATGAAATCTTGCGCACCTTATCGGCATAGGAAACATTACGGCGATTCATTATGGGCGGCGAGGACTGGATGGGGTGGAAAACAAACCTTCATAACGTTTGCCTGCTTGCGTTTTTGGGCACGATGCCGATGATCCCTGAGAAACGGAAACCCAGATTAAGATCGGGTATGAGTTGTATACTTTTTTGTTAATTACGACGCACGTATTGAGTCTCGAGATGATATATGCTGCCGAGCTACACAACTGTATGAGGAAGCAAGGAACACATAGAGTAGATATTTTCAAAGACCCACTCAACGCTATCACCGATTTCTTCCCTTTAGAGTTCACGACTTTAAGCAGGGGCCGTGCAACGTCACATATAGCAATGCGTCCCAAACAGGTCTGGATAACACTCGAAGACCAAGAACGGCACGTCATGAAATAAGACCCGACTCATCCTCGTGTACAAAATGTGGGAAGTGTGTTCAAAGTAGCCGCTGGATCAGAGTTGCTAAACCTGAGGCTCTCTTGCTGAACAGAAGTGAGAAAACAAAACCCGAAATTACGTGCATTATAAGACATACGTTGTATGTCCTACTGCGCTCCTCCATCCCAGCTGAAACGCAACACTTCAGCTGAGCGGTACGTATCCTGTCCCTCCCCCCCCCCCCACGCTCTCTCCCTGACCGACCTGGACGCCCGTGAAATCGATATTGGTGCGCACCGGGCGCCGGTGCAGCGGCTGCGGAGTGCGGAAGTTGTCCCCCAGTGGTGACCTGGTGTCATCCGTCTGCAGGCTCTGGCTGAGGCGCCGCAGTTGCTCCAACTGCAGACCGCCAGGCGGCGCGGACAGTGTGGCTGACAAACTGCTCAGTCATAACGGCCTAGCTGATTGTACGGGAAACGTGGCAGGTTAGCGGACGGATCAGGCCAGATTCATGTGCCAAGGCTGTGACATGCTCATCATCACGGCACTGCGCGGGCTGAGGATCCAGGGGAGAATGAGATTCGCTGGTTGAAGGAGCATACTTATATACTTTGGGCTCGAAAGTAAGTCTGGATGCCGATACTCGGGGTGAGGACGGGGGGCAGGTACTGTAACGGTGGACCCTCCAAATAAACTTGGACATGAAATAACGATAAACTAGATGCCTCGCACCGAATGTGAAGAAACGGTATTGCGAGGCGTGATGGTTACATATAATAATCTTATCAACACAAATTGATCAAACTGATCTTCTATCAACGTGACATTATTTCCTTCGTATGGTGGTTCAAGACGAAGCCCAGTCAATTGCTTGCACCAGTATGATACTAAGTTCCTAGAGCCTGGCTCCCAGATCCAAGGTCAGCAGATCGTCAGTTTCTATCAGCGCTACTGATATCGGGGATCTCAAGTTGCACTGTGAAGGTATCAGCAGCCATGCTCGATGAGGTGATGGCTACGTTCCTCACCTGACATCAGCGAACATGCATGATAAGGTGGTGACTGCCTCATCATCTGACATCAGCAAACACGCGTGATGAGGTGACGGCTGTCTCTCTCACCTGACATCAGCAACCATGCGTGATGGGGTGACGGCTACCTCCCTCACCTGACGCGTGGTAATATAGATTGGCTTGTTCATCAGAACCCAGGTGACCGACTCGTCACAGCCGGGCCAGGTTAGCGATCCCTCGTAGGTCAGGTAGAACTCGGTGCTGGGCAGCAGTTCACTGACGCTGACATTCGCCAGACATATCGCATCATCTGCGGCACGTTATTCGAATGCAGACTAGACTAGAAAGAATTGCCAAAAAAGATGCGTGAACTAGGGAGCGATCCGCAGCAAACAATCGTGTAATGTTGTCGCCAGTAACGGAAATGGTCGACGTGAATCGAATGATTCGACGCAGATAACGCCAGGTCATCGCCGTACGCAGAATGCGTGCCGATTGACACGTCAGCAAGACCGTGAGTGGCGGCTGCTGTGGCGCAAGAGGGTGAGTGGCGGCTGCTGTGGCGTAAGAGCGTGAGTGGCGGCTGCTGTGGCGTAAGAGCGTGAGTGGAGGCTGCTGTGGCACGCACAACTCACCTCGGTAGGGTGTTGCTACGCTGGCGTCGGCGAGGCGCGCCAGCTGGTGACTGGTCGCCGAGCCTTGCTGGGAAACAGCAACACCACCTGTCACCACCACCGGACGGCAACACCACCTGTCACCCCACCGGACGTCAACACCACCTGTCACCACCACCAGAAGACGACACAGCACGTGCAGCAGACACGCCGACCAGAAGCCCGGGCTGTGCCCGAGTCAGTTACAGCAAAACCGAAGATCGTTATCAGGATGTCTCCAACTGAGACTGTTGGGTTGACAATGTACAGGGTGGAACACCCACCTAGGTTTAGGCGGGTTAAGGATTGAGGATGTGGGGCACGTGGAAGGGGTGTATTTTCCCATGCCGACTTGGTTCCGGTTTTGGGAAGGAAGTGGGCCTACTCCGGGAAAACCCCGCTGTTGACATTTTTTGGACGCAGGTTTTGTCATTTTATATTGATCAGCTCCTTTCTCCAATTCATTCCACGCAACAGCACTCCTTGTTTGGGGTGTCAAGATCCCAAAACGTCTTTATTCGGCAGGAAGGTAGGTTCCAAAACATGGACATGACCAGCATCCTATGACCTTGGTCTTGCACATGTTTTTAATTTGTTTAGGAGGGGAGCTATTAGGGCCTTACAACGCTCTCAGGAGCCGACATTATATCAAACATATCGTCATCGTTCAAATACCAAAAACATTCATTATTGAATACCAGCGTGCAAGACATGCATGTCTTTGTGACTCAGCGATTCGCGACTCTGCGCTGCCCCGTTTATCACGATCAGTTGTAGAGCTTTATAATACCTGTTAAGTTATATTCTTGCACACTCCTTTACTGCATATACAAATATATATATATATATATATATATATATATATATATATATATATATATATATATATGTAGCGTGTGTGTATGCGTGTTTCAGTGATGACGGTATCATCATTGTTAACCTTAACGCTTGGCTTATCACCATATCGTTTAACACCTTTCAGGTCCGTAGTTAAGAAAGGATAGGCACGCAGAGGCCAGCATTCTTCTCCATCTTTATTAGCGCAGTGAGTGGTCAGATCAATAAGTATGAATTAAAAAGTGTCACAGTAAGTGACGAAACGGACGCACCATTATATACATTGCATTACTACACTTCCTATCAGAAAATTATATATTTCTTATCGTCTTGCTGCATTTTATGTTTCCATTACTGTATCATAAGACATTTTTACATTTGCTTAGCGTACACATGTTTTCATATCGGCGTCTGGCCACTTAAAAATACAACAGCGACCAAGTCCACCAGAGTTATAGGGCGGTGACCAGTACCACCGGACTCATAGTGTAGCAGCCAATCCCACAGGAGCCAGGACAGCTGCCACTCTAGCCAGGGCCGGGGCAGCGACCCGACTCCAACGAATCCACCGCAGCCCGGTCCAATAAGACCAGTTCCTGTCCACGACTATACCCGAGCCAGCGGGGCAACCAGCATGTGGTCTGAGCCTCTGCGGCGGCTCGCGCTGCTAGACATAGAGCAGCAGCTAGTATGCGATCTGAACCTTTGCGGTGGCCCGCGCTGTCAGGCATAGAGCAGCAGCTAGTATGTGATCTGAACCTTTGCGGTGGCCCGCGCTGTCAGACATAGAGCAGCAGCTAGTATGTGATCTGAACCTCTGCAGTGGCCCGCGCTGTCAGACATAGAGCAGCAGCTAGTATGTGATCTGAACCTTTGCGGTGGCCCGCGCTGCTAGACACAGAGCAGCAGCCAGTCTCACACAGGGCCAGAGCGGTGGCTCAGCCCGCCTGAGCCGGCGAAAGTGCCATCATCGGATCCTACGCAGCAGCCGCTCTCTCCGACCCCAGGGCAGCGGCTGGCCTCACCGGATCTAGCACCCGATCCAGCGCAGCAGCCGCTCTCTCCGACCCCAGGGCAGCGGCTGGCCTCACCGGATCTAGCACCCGATCCAGCGCAGCAGCCGCTCTCTCCGACCCCAGGGCAGCGGCTGGCCTCACCGGATCTAGCACCCGATCCAGCGCAGCAGCCGCTCTCTCCGACCCCAGGGCAGCGGGTGACCTCACCGGATCCGTCATCGGATTCAGCGCAGCAGCCGCTCTCTCCGACCCCAGGGCAGCGGGTGACCTCACCGGATCCAGCACCCGATCCAGCGCAGCAGCCGCTCTCTCCGACCCCAGGGCAGCGGCTGGCCTCACGGGATCCGGCGTCGGATCCAGCGCAGCAGCCGCTCTCTCCGTCCCCAGGGCAGCGGGTGACGTCATCGGATCCAGCACCGGGTTCAGTGCAGCAGGCGCTCCCTCCAAGCTCAGGACAGCGGCTGGTCTCACCGGGGCCAGCTCCGGAGCCACGGCTTACACACAACTGGGAAACCATGAAGGTTTCACGGTGTTTTAAATTTCAAGCTTCCCAATAATAACCCAACAAAGCTCCACAGAATGCCTAGGATAACAGCCACTCCGATGCGCCTTCTAGGGCCATTTGTTTTTCCGCCCACCTTACCTCAAGGGGCTTACCTAAATTCTCCTTTGTGCATTGGTTCTAAGAACCAATGCTATTTTGTACGATTTTTTAGTTTGCCCGGGTGATTTGGATAGCGAGTTGCCGTCCCCGACTGTACCTTAGCTAGTGCAGCACTCAGCTTGGCATCTGAACCTTTGGTGGATGATTTGTTAGTCCTGCAACTTGCTGGTTAACGGAACCAGCCATCGAATGCCATAATGGGAAGCAGTAGTCATTGTATTATAACATAAGTAAGCTTAATCAGCATTCATTTCGGTCAGCCATAGCTGGAAGCCTTTGCATGAATAATAGATCGTTGCCCTAAAAAGGACGAAAGCGAACGCAAAAAGAAATGCCGGTTCCTCCCGACCTAAGCTATGCTCCAGCATAAGCATATGAGCCTTGAGTAAAGAAAACTGATTACGGTGTCGAGCAAGGAAAATGCTGTGATTCCAAGGTGTCAACCGTTTATTTTTTGTTCTATCGATCGTAAAACAAACGTCGCTAGAAGCAGCTCCCTGAACAACTGCCTACAGGAACCAACAGTATGTAAAAAGTGCCGTGGTATTGCCCCACTTTCTTAACTTGACTTTTCAGTTCGGCCGTGCACCCCAGGCATGGCTGCCGGTTTCCGAGCCAACAATTCTGCCCTGCCGCCGCGCCCGAAGTCCTATCTTCATTACATGGGTGTTGTTTCGTATTCTGCGGGGGAGGGCTCCAGCCCCCCTTCCTCAGCTTGGGCTCTCGTCAACTTTGGGAAGAAAGTGTGCCAAAATATGGGGATGTGGGCAAAGACCCGATTGGTGGCCTATTTGGGGATAGGTTTTGCCATTTTTCACACTTCAACACCCCCAAATTCATTTTGCGAGGCTATGCCGCTGCTTCATTCCCCGCCCACGTTCACTTTCCACCCTCATCCCGGAAAACCAGCTTCACTTCCACGTATCACTCCTCGCGATTGCTTCAGTAAAGGCGGATATCATGTGCTGCGGTGAACGCATCGCCGCACGCCCACATGACAACATGCGGGCAGGACATCTCACCTGAACTAGCACCGCGACGATAACAATGCCGCTGTTGCCGGAGGCCGCAGCTGTCAGGTTTGGATACAGGTTCGCGTTGTATCCCAACAGCTGGACCTGCGGAGGGGTGGCCACGCGTCCGGCGGTTAGGCTCCGTGAAACGGCAGCTAACCGCTGTGCGGCGTGCGGCCTGCCCGCGCCATGCCTGCTGTTTTTGTGGTATGGGCCTTCGAACGAAGGACCGTTGTTGTAACAATGCCGTATGGTGGAGAGCAATGAACGTTTGCTTCCCGCCAGTGATCTCATGATTGTCAGGTGGGTAGTCAGTGCGTAGAGATCAGACGGTGTACAAATTCACCGCGTTTCGGACATTCCATGTGCGTGTTCGTGCCGACATCAGATTGCATTAATCGCCCTCCTGCGCGTGAAAGTCATGCTTCATATGCTGGCGTTACAGATGGTATTTTCCTGCCCAACTCACGCCAACAGAGAGGTTATTACTATGTACTTTGAGCTAGCCACCGGCGCAATAATAAGGCTTCACAGATACGGCAAAGTCAACGTGCGCTTATTGCTTATGTGGTCGCTCTGATACATGTTAAACACAAACATTTTCTGAAATGTCACAACTGCACCCTACGAGCGCCTTAATCAGAGCAAAACGAGCTCGGAAGTCTTACTTCAGCCGGAAATGGCTTTCCAGATATTTGGTGTTCCGACCCCCGAGCGTTCTTCATTCCGAAGTGGATGTGAACTTCTTGGAATTGATAACTGTATATAAAAGGTCAGATGAGCAAAAAGACAGCACTGCGGTCGCGACAAAGCCAAGCACGAATAGACGAAAGCAGACACACTCAAGTTCGGAATTGCTACCACAGCAATAGATCGCTGTTCTTTCCAGGGGGCATCATGACCGAGTGCAAGGCCTTTAGCTCCTGCATGGGGGCCCGGGCTCGAATCCCGGTAAATCTATGACCTCTGAGCGCTGATATGACCTCTCCAGCCGCTTCGTGTCATGAAGAGATTCGCGACGACACGCGACGCATTACTGTTTTAAAGGTGGACTACTGACCCGTAGCTGAGCGAGGCACCGGTGATATTGACCTGACCCCGGTGCGAGTCCAGTACGCTGAACACCAGCCCGTGCCCGGAGTTCCTCAGGCAGCCCGACACCTGTCACAGGCACAGCCTCAGCGTCGCACACGTACAGCACCTTGTTTCAAAGTTTGACGCTGTGATTCGGCGGAGGCCGTGGAAATAGGAGCCGCGTTGGGTTGCACCTGACACGAATAGCGTGTCTTAGAGTAAGTTGGGTGCTATCCGTGCTTGCAACAGACACAAGACGGTTGGTTTCACAGCTTGGCGGGGCCTGACACATGACACATCATCCCTGAGTCAACTGATAGCGCACCAGCTGCTGGGACAACCAAAACTGATCCTTCGGTAGATTACAATCACGGCGGCTGCGATTGGTGGAAAATATCTGAGTAAACCAATCCCACCAACCGTGTGCACAGAAAGCAAAAGCCACAGACATCAAAATGAGGCAACGTAAACTATCCACATCCTTTGGCACATGTCACGTGAGGTCGGTGATACATTTGGTGCCAGATGTTCCAAAAAAGCGCGGGAAGGTGCAACACATTTTCATTTTGCACGATGTTGCATGAATAAAGCAGGCCAGCGAACTGGATCGCGCTTTGAGATGTGACGATGGCAGAAAAGTGCAGAGATGCTGCAAGCAAAAGACAGGGCTATAGTCAAACAGTCTTCACAAAATCTACGTGAGTTTAATAAGGCAAGGTAGTGCCAACCGAACGGAGCGTTGCGTAAAGGACGTCTAAAAATGCAATGAGCTGCTTTTAAAATGCGGACAAGCAACACAAGACGTCATATACAATTAGGCAGAATATGGCGGGACACATACGGCGGCATTGTCGACGTGTAGATAGCCCAGTTGTGGGTCGAACAGAAGTGAATCGGGCTCGACGTTGATGGGCGACTGCCGACGACCCTTGTGACACGTGCCCCAGTCCGGGTTAAACACCCCCCAGTACGAGGTGCCTGGCGGAATAAACGAGTGTCGGAGCGAGAACGAGAACGAGAGTACACGTGCTGGTCGGCCCAGAGCTTGATGCGGCGTTCCGCGCCGTTTCAGGAATCGACACATGGTGTTCTTAGCCCGTCTGGTGTGAAGATGACGTTAAACATTAACAGGGAAACTGTAACTCAATGCAAAATAACCTGTACAAGCTTGGTATATTGCAGTAAGTAGACATATCTGTCACCCCAAACTGCTGGCAAGTGAGTCGTCTGCTTCAGGTTAGACATTGCCAAAAAGACCATGATCGATACAAAATCAGTACACATCGCAGGTAACCAATGGTCATTAGGCCACTCGTTCACAATTACATCCGAAAAGTAGAAATGGCCTTGAGACCTTATTGATCCCTGCAAGTGCTAAAATGTGCTGTGTATGCAATACTGCTTATTCTCCAATGTGCAAAACGTCAGCCGACGCAAACTCATCCCCGCAAATTTCGCATAGGCTGTGCACTTATCTGTATCTGTAGCATGGTCTGAACATCGCACGTAATACTTGCAACGAGTGATGACGATGTTAAACGCCAGATTTGATTTAAAAGACAGGTTCCAACGAAAATTGGCGACTCCTAAAATACGCAGTGTATGTATCATCAGCTCCATATATAGGGCAGTCTAACGGGACATTCGCTTCAGTGCTCTAACTCCTAGCTTCTAACGTACCTGATATGCCATCGTAGGTCCACCACTGGTCCCAAACGACGCAACTCACACCTGAGGACAGCCAAACTTTGTATACACACTGCAGGTACACATGTGCCGAACAGATTTGCTGGAGTGACGCCGAAAAGGTCGTCACAGACACTTGATGCAGTGACTGCCTGTGATCTGGGTCACCTGGTGACATTTCCGATGTCACGGCTGGTGCATTTCCTCACCACTGATATCGTTAGTTACGTGGTTATGGCGAGCCCATCACAGTCAACAGATATTCATACAGAGGAAAAGGCACATACACGTACTTAGCATATACATGCAAACAGAAATATACACCACGCCGCGAGACTCAGTTTTTTGGCCTGCGTCATGTATGACAGGTTAGGTTCTGACGGGAGCTTTACGCTTGCGAAACCAACTGTAAAGCACGCCACTTGGAACATCGTGTCAACGTCAGCGGTGGTTCAGATGCTTGATGCGGCAGTGCCTTACCTAGAACCTTTACAAAGTGGTACCATACTGTCAGCGGGGTGAGCCTCATGCTTATCTTATGGCTGCAGTCATCACGCATCTGGAAGTAAAAGCAAATCCTCTGGAAAACTGCCACAAAGTTTGGCCCACTGCTGCACGTTGGCAAGGGAGACGTTCGAGAGCATGCATGGTAGGCTGCAATTTTTCCTCGTTGAGAGATTAAGTAGCGGAAAGTTTCCACCGAGGAATTTCGATTAAGTGCCATGAATTGGCTGGGGCTATAAATGCACGTATAATTATGTCGGTCGAACATCCAAAGGAGCAGTGACGATGAACACATGCGCTCCCGATGTTGAAGATTGACACGCACATTATAAAATATGTACACACAATTTCAACGTCAAAATGCGAATGATTACATTGAAGATAAACGTCCATAAAACATAGCGTGCTGTGAACAACCGACAGGCATGTATGTAAACATAAAAAATATAATTACAACCGCCTTAAAATGCCTCCTTTGGCAGATGCGTTGACCACCATACGCGATTGTCATATTAAAAAAGGATAAAATCCTAGGATTTACAAACCTGAGTTAGGAAACTTCATCTCCAAACGCACTTTGAGCACTTGCACTTTGAGCGCCCCTGTCATAAATGCACTATTTTTTAAAGCCTGCGTTCGTGGCTTAACCTGACCGAGTTCGAAGCGGCACGAACTGACCCCAGCATGACCGCGACCCCGCAATGAGTGCGCCCTCGGCTCACCTGACCTGTGGCCTCAGTTTGTCCAGGGGCGGCGCGTTCCAGCTGAGGCCGCCTGACCCACACCGCCGTCAGCTGGGACTGGCTCCGTCTCCGACCCACCGGAGTGCCCGGCGCGTACCGGCGCGCGTCGATGCTTGCGGTCGAGAAGTGTCTCTCACAAGCATCTGCGTCGAGACTGGGTGGTTGCGTGCCTATAATTTAGCCCAAGCGGGGTGCGTGACAATGTTCCAATCAGAGCCGCAATCAGGCCGACACGCCATTTTGCGACGAATGCAGCTTATTTAGCTCAACTTCATGCCCTTGTAACACGCATAGCATTCGTGGCGCATGTCATGTGTCATATGGTGTGAAATATCAATGTAGGAAGAAAGCGCTCGAGGGGCACTGCCCTCCCGTCCACCTTAATGATCGTAAATTTCGAACGTTAGCTCTATGGCAACGTTCTTAATGGTCGACTTTGAAGAGGGCCAAAATATCACAACTTTTCAGGCTTCGACGCCCTGTTATTAACATCTCCCAACATCGGGCTTTCGTTGCGACTGCTGTGCTATGGACTATGAATTCCCCTTTGCAGAGGAGTTGTGACCAAAATAAGGAATCCATACAGCTCAGAAGCAGGTAACCTGCTACATCTTAAAACTATGCCTCAAACATATTTTGTGGAAGTCCTTATTACTTGCAGCACGTAGGTCGCGAACGCATCAGTCTGCACAAAATGCCGGCAATGTTTGTCGCTGCTCGGAGCGCACTCAGCTAGTTTGTTCACCGAAATTGAAATGTTATATAGCTTACTCACTTGATATCAAAATGAGAGGCCCTCAGCTTCTGTTTCCTCGGCATGATGAGTTCTGGGCTCTCATGGTAAGTTATCGACCTCCAGTTTGGACGGAACACTGATTTAACGGTGTTATGGTGCAAACATTGGTTATATTGGCAACGGCCTGGTTACACCGGCGATATTGACGCTCGAAGTTACCATAAGCCGAGTTTGAAGCGTTGAGCTCCGTCAAGATAACCAATGTTTGCACTGTGGTATCGTTTTATCAGCACCTATTGTAAACTGAAAGTAAATGACGGCGGATGAAAACTTTGAGCTCATATTGTATCGTGCTTTTTAGAATCGATGCAAATTATATTCCGTTGCGAAAGGAAATTTGGGCCAGACTGGAAATGTCAGCGGCCGGTGACAGCAGCGGCCCTCAGGGTCAAATGATGTCAGAAGGTATGATAAGGCGTGCAGAGGATTACGGAGCTTGAAGCTTTCGCCAGAAAATTCTTCCTTGCTCCGAGATTTCACGATGATCGTATATTGGGGTTAAAACTCAAACAGCAAACGCTACTTAACGCGCGACATGCGATCCTAGAAACCCCATCCAATAAAGATATCCGGCATGCTTGTTAAAAACATGTTAGATTATTTTGACAGAGTGCTGATTGCACTGGACTGGACTGGGCTCATAATTAAACAGACATTACACTACATAATATGATAAACTACGGACTCGAGATGCCAAACTTTATCTAAAAATATCGGAGACAAGCTTCCTGCTTTGGGCCTTCCTGGAGAGTGAGTTTAGAGAAAAACAAAGACAAACATAACACCAGTGCGCCCAAAAATGTATGCTCTTGTCGATTTGGGAAGTCATCTACGAAGATCGTTACACTGATGGAACTAAGACCCGCAGGCTACTAGACTCACGAATACCGTGCACACATAAACACGCGTGCATCTTACATATCGCTATTCTACAAGTAGATTCTGCACATTACCGTTCCACCTATATATCTTTATTATTCCAGGCCCTAGTGATTGGCATCATCGCGACATCGCGACATATGTCATGAGATACATGGCATGTACGACATATATGTGAGTGTGACACATAGCGAGCACCCAAAGCGACTCGATCTCACCCCGCTACAGATGGTGGATCGGAAGGCAGATGCTCTAACCAACTGATCCATCGGGACGCACAGAGTTTTACCTTTGACTTTCGATTTCACCTTTACTCAGGTACCACATATGAAAAATAACTGCAGAAATGAGCTCCCTGCCATCAAACACCTCTGCAGCACGGTATCACACGACAATCCAAGTCAACGGGATCAGACTTAAGGTCGGAACTATGGTGTTCACTATGGTGGAGAGATCGGTGTGCCGACAGCACCGGGCAGGTGTAGCCAGACCGAAGAATGATGGCAAGTAAGCACAGTCAAGTCCCTGGTTACAAGCGTTGTATAAGCAATAGTACGTCGAACTGAGTGCAGCTTTATTGGTAATGAAGAAGGATGTGCAATATGAAGCACGAACAGTGCCCACGGGTACCCAGTGCCTTTGTTTGATGCTAAATTGGGCACCGATCAATGGCGGCAACGGCTCGTCCCCGGCCGCCGCCTTCGCCTTCCCCCTGCCGGCGATCTTCTTCATGACGCGCTGGTCAGTAGCTATGTGCTGCCAAAGACACGCACCGCAGTGACCAAGCACGTCAGGCAAGCTCTCCAGACGGCAGCTGCACGGCAGCGCTGCCTTGAAAATCGTGCGCTGGCGGCCTCACTGACCGCATTGATGGCAAGAGGTTGCGTTCAGCGCAGTGGAGGAAGCTCTATCCTAATCATCCTAACCCATTCAATCTATGCTAATCATCCGTCCTAATTATCGACGTATTCAGTTCGACCAATCCAAAGAAATAAAGTGGAACATGACGGAGATTGATGCAATGACCCCACCGGGCATATCTTGGTACCTCTCCGCACAGTCCCCAGCCACCAATGGCCGGAGCACAGTCCCGCTCTGCCCGATACCCAGGGCCCGCCCCAAAACAATAGTTACTGCGATGGCCGCCAGGGGGTCGCGAGATCCCGAGTCCGATCAGTCCAGTCAAGACAGAAGCCATCCGGTGAGAATTACGTGCAGCTGAAAGGAAGGAAACTACGTAACGCTTGTTTAATGCAAAGTGTGGTGCAAATTGTACCGTGTATTGTACCATGTCAAGCTTTTGTCACAAAATTATGTGATTGACACAGAGCTCAACGACCAAAGAGTGAGGCTAGGGCTCACATAACAAGCACAGCTTAGCACAACACAGATAGAAGAGATCAATCCATTTAAAAGGCTCGGCTTGGATATGAAAACGTATATATTGTTGTGTCTAACCCTAAACCAAAAACGTTTTCATAGCGCTCGTTTTTTGATCGAGTAGTATTTCATCATTGCTTTTCTGGCCACTTTAAGTTCAGATTAGTTTTATGTGCCTGTACTACTTTTAACGGGAACATTTTCACCTAGGAATCTTCTTATAAACCAAATCGGAAACGCACTAGAACTAGGATAAATAGGAGAGAGACCCTTGAAGTGCTGCCAAGCCTATAGGGTAGATTTGATTACGAAGGCGTTTGTTTTGGAGTCACTTGCTTATTCATCATTCAACATTTACGGTAGCTTATGATTTGGTCAGATGGGACAAATTCACAAATTTAAAATGAGGAGTATGTATGTGGTGAAGCGAAAACGGTCCCACGGTTAGTGGGCTATTCCTCTTGACCAGACGATAAATGACGGTTTTCACTTCGATTCATCCCAGGTTTTGGACACATCAACTCTGGTAATAGCAAGGGTTCCGGCCCAATAATTGCGGTCTGAGAAAGGTGGGGGTACGTTCTTTTTGTTCACTCAGTCAGGAAAGAATGAGTTGCGAGGTGGCGACAAAGACGGTGATGGCTGTGCATGTGTTTTTGCATCTCGAAGAGAAAGGCACGTATAAGGTGTCATGCATAAAGCGTCACGTGACTGCATGCAGGTGTTGCAGGTATCCAGGTGTTGCTATATGTTCATTGCTGACCTTGTGCTGATTTGGTAAATTTCTGGCAGTTTGTGGACGTTTTGTCGGACTCTGAGTGGTTCGCAGTCGACATCGTAAAGTAGACCGTTCAGATGCGACCTCTCAATACGCGCCCTTTTGTGTCCTCTCACTAGGCGCGTCATTTTGAACTGCGTGCGCTCTAGTCTCGCGTCGACTGCCGTTAAATGCAAAATTCAGACAGCATTGCAGTCCTCCATAGTTTGTCAATTATTTATCCAGTAAATCCAATTAAAAAATGTACGTGACGTATACCTAATGCCACAGAATATCGAGAACCAGGTGGCTTGTTGAATTTGCTCAGGGTTTCACTAACATGATTATAGAATCGCGATCATAGATCGCAATCCTGATATGAACGGCGCAATAGGGTACATAAGATTTTTGGGGCAGATGTTGGCCGACCGTTTATTTTTAGTTCGAGGTGTTGGCTTGTTGTTCTGTTA